GATGAGGAAGAGGGGTTAGATGAAGAGGATAATGTTAAGGAAGGAGTGGGAAGGGCTGTACCATGTTCGACATCACGTACCTTACTGTCGCTAGTTTCATTGGGCAAGGGAGAGATTGCAGGAGAAATTGACTTTCCCGGGTTGGTTGGCTGGTGGGCCGTAGGGTTGGGTGACAATTGCAGGACAAACTGGAGATAATCGTCGGCAAGAAAGAGATCAAGCCTGTGTGTATGAAGTGCAGCATAAAGAATAAGTCCGGGACAGGCAACGCGCGCCTCGTCTTCAGAAGTTAATTGAAGGCTGGAATCGGCATTACTGCTGCCAATGCTGCTAGAAGCACTAATACTACTATTATGGCTACTATTACTATAACTACAATTTGCGCGGCCATTGATACCACAAGCGCTACCACCGCTAACAACAGAGTTGGAGTTAGCGCCGAAGCAGTTGTGGAGTGCGCGAATTTCAGCAGTCTCCATATTCTCTGGCTTTAGAAGACTTCCAGGTGGATCACACAGCCTCGAGGCTGCAGCGGCAATAACCACTGCGTCTTCCTCAGCAGACATAACAGCCTTCAAATCGTTCAAAGAAGCTGCGGTGGCTCGGCGAATCCGTTCCTCGTCATCAAGGTCATCATCACCAGCGTCACTAACTTCCTCTTGATCCTGGAGCGTTCTCGTTTCGATTGGCCCCAACTTGGTAGGTCGATCATTAGCGTTTTTTAGTCCACCAGATGAATGCGGAGACACAATGGATGTCGAAGAGCCGGAGGGTAGTACAGAACGGTTAACTGATGCAGCAGGTAAGAGGCGCGAAGTGGTAGTGACAGTTGCAAAATTAGAATTGGTGGTCGACGAGGAGCTAAGTGCAAAAAGATCTGCCTTCAGGAAGTTGTCCATATCATCGTCAACACAAACAGCTGTGGAATTGGCAAGCATACTAACCGTGGCTGCGGCTGATGATGATTCGGAATAGTCAAGGCAGTGATTCATTTCGTTCCGTGCCAACTTTATTTCATCCTCGTGCCGACTGTCGACAATCAAAAAAGATCCAAGCTTCTGATGTTGTCCCATACGCTGCTGACTAGTGGCACCAACGCCAGAGTCCTCAGGACTCTTAAGGCGAGCTCGCTTCGCAGAAAGTCTAAGACTGGGGTCCTCTTCATCTTCTGGTATTCCGGCCTGATCAAGCACTTGTTCTTTGATCGAATTACAGCGTATTTTATCCTCACAAGCAGTTTTTAGGCTGTCAGAAGAAGACATCTCGAAGTTGCCCAGACCAAGGCTGGCTGGTCGCTTCAGGTTTCCATGAGCCAAGCAATTCACTTGTTCTTCCGGTTCAGGTTTGGTGACCACCTGAACTACCGGGTAAGATAGTTCCGGCTTATTTTCTGAGCCTATCTGGTCTCGGGACTGTTTTTGGCCATCAGGGCTAAGCATGGTTTCCTCGCCTGATGGAAGAGAAACCATAGGCAACTCTTCCGAGAGAAGAAAGTCCAGCCCGACGTTGGCAGCTCCGAGGCAAGCTGAAGTAGCGGAAGTTGAAGAGACAATGGGTGCTGAGGAAGCAGATGCAATACGCTGTGGGGTATCACCTCCTCCAGGGGCTTCGGGTCCTGAAAGTGGATCAGTGGATATTTCGGCTAACATTGAAGCTGACGCGGCAGCAGTTATCTGGCAAAGAGGACTGCCGCTACTGCAGCTGCTGTTGGCCGATGTCGTGGATGCGTTAGAAAAAGTGACGCCAGATGCCCCGACGCTGGATCCCTCAGTACCGGGAGCTACGGCTGATGAAGAGAGAGTAAGCCCAGAAGACCCAGATCCCATCATTCCAAAGGCAAGTTCGCTCTGCTGTGGTAGAGGAATGGAGTGATTGTGAACAGTAGCTGGAGGTCGACACATCGAAGTCATGTTAACTCCAGGGATTGCTGGAATTTGAGAATAACTGGGCATATAAACCGATGGTCCGGTAGAGGCTGTGATGGCCGGGGAGTTTGAAGCCAAACCACTCACAGATAAAGAAGAGGGAGCAAGGCTAGATGGTGTGCTAGAGCCAAGAAGAGTAGTTGCCTGCTGGCCTGGATACCAAATACCAGATAATGAAGATTGACTGGTGATAGAATTGTTGTTAGAGGCAGCGGTTGGAGAAGGGCTCCCTGAGATCGTGATAGTGGTGGAGAGATCATCAATCAGTGCAACGCTTGATTCTGCAGGAAGAGGAAGTGGATCCCCAGGGAGACTAGATACTGAAAAGGGAGTAATCGCAGAACTAGTCGAAGTAGAAGCAATCGTAGATGAGACACTGCAGGTAGTGTCAATACTTGTGGACAGCGGGTGAATCAGCATCATGCTGCTGGTCGTAACAGCATGAGTGCTTACATTTGGAGTGGCAAGCCCACGACTGGTGTTGGCAGGAGTTACAAGCATTACATCACCAATAACCGAAGGCGGTAATCTGGACGGAACAAAGGCGCCAGATGAAATGAGAGAACTGGAAATTGAAGAGTTCGCAGATGTAGAGCTTATAACTGAAGAAGAGGTGATCATGGAACTGGACAGCGAGACCATCTGACCTGTTGGGGAGATTACCAGGTCTCCAGTGGCCTGATGGCTCTGTTGACGCGCATGAAAGTGGTTATTTGTAGAAGAAATTAGCATGCTGGACAGTTGTTGTTGTTGGGACTGGTGATGCTGAGATCCAGGGATGCCAGGCGTGGGTGGAGGAGAAATGAGCCCAGGAGTTGTGCCCGACGTTGCTGCTGCCGAAGCAGCAGCAGCAGCTGCTGCTGCCGCTGCTGCTGCAGCTCCACCGCGACCTCTGCGACTTTTAGCAGTACCACTGGCCCCACTACCAGTAGACGAACCACCAGTGGCTCGGCCACCTCGTGAACCGCGGCCTCCTGGCGCCTTGGCAGGAGTGCCATTGGCACTACTTGCCATAGATCCGGTTATGGGGAGAACGGCCGTTCCAGTTCGCGCGTTACCACGAGCTACTTTTCCCAGCCCAGAGGCGCCTGGACAACCAGGCACGAGGCTGGAAAGTGGATGAAGTAAGCCATCAGATTGGGCAAGCGGGAGTGAAGTGTAACCACTATTAGAAAGACCAGATGATCCAGGAAACTGCTGATGTCCAAGAGGAGCATTTCCATTCGCTTCTAAAGGATTGGAGATAAGTGATTGATGTTGTTGTTGCTGCTGTGAATGCGTTTGTTGTGTCTGCGACATATAAGTGGAGTCAGGAATTGGTCCTGGTGAAGGCTGAGGCGTCACCCAATTGGAGTTCTGTCCACTGGCACCACTCATTATAGAAGAATGATCTCCTATTGAAACAAGGCAAAGAAATTGTATACAAATATTTATCCTTCTAGCAGGAAACGATAACCAAAACTAATTTAAATTCAGGTGTGAAAGGTCAAACCAAGGTAAAGGTAATCAAAGAAATAAAGGAGTAACAAGATATCTGAAGATTAGCCTAGGAAACGATAATATATGAGCATAATGTGAATTTAACATTAATGTTATTATATCCAAAACACAAGAAGATTCTTGCTTCAAAGACATAATATGCACATTTAGAGGCCTGGAAATAATTGATATAATTTTTAGCACTTGCCAGGCTGAGATGAAGGTCGTGAGAGAGTTTGCCAATTAGCCGGACCAGAGACAAAGTTATCCACTAACTGAGTAATCGCAGTGGGTTGCTGTTGTTGCCATGGTGGTATCAACTGCCCTTGGACAGAGTAGATTGGCGTTCCAGCCGTCGTCATAATAGATGCGGAACTGACGGAGGAAGTGGTGGCTGAGGAGGCTGGATAAGTCACAGACACAAAGCCGTCCAAAGCTGGTTGAGGCCCAGAAACCGGAGAAACCAATGAGTATGGTGGAGACGGCGAAGTTAGACGAGTGCTCTGGCCAGAACACATAATTCCCGAATTAGTTGAAAGAACGGGCGGTGGCATAGGCGATTGTTGCCGGCGATAAGCAGTACTGCTTGGTGGTGGAGGATGAGTGGGTTGCCCAGACTGTAAAGATGAAGGAGGATACGGCAGTTGATGGGAACCAACTGATCCCGGTGGCATAGGAGCGTACGAATGCGGAATGGAATGTGACGTTTGCTGTTGTTGTTGAATAGGCGTTCTAATTCCCGATAGGTTTCCTGTCCAGGCGACTCCAGCTCTTAATTGCCCTGGTCCTGCTGCAGGTTGTGGTGGTCCTGCTACTGAGTTTAAGGGTGGTGCGACCACTGATTGAGTTTGTTGGTGCCCTGCATGTGCCAAAGCTCCTGCAGAAGCGAGGTTTGGCAGAGGTTGCATCGGTCCTAACTGAGCCAATGACTGAGATGCCGATGGGGAAATTTGCAAAGGTGATTGGGATGAAGAGACAGACAGCGTACCTGAATATTGGCAAGCCTGAAAGACGCCGTTACTCGATGATGATGATGAATGTATCGACAATGATGACTTAGTGGTTAGTAGAGCGCGAGTGACCATCTCAGTGAGAGGACCAAATACTGGCATCCAACGATCGAGGTGGAGCGGCAAATCAAGCGTGTCGAGAGCTGGTGGGATGCGCCAATGGCCATCTGAGCGAACTTGGATGCGATCGACGTGTGGAGCAACAAGATGCAGAGCGTTGCAGAGAGTAGTGTCTATACAGAGTCCGTCTAAACCAGCTGGGCTTTTGTGGCTAGAATAGAGATATAAAATTTTAAAATAAGCAATTGTTTATTAATTAAATTTTTGAATGGGAATTTGGTCACCTTAGGGAGTTTGGGATGATTTAAGTATCGATATTTGGATTTATTCACAATGAAATAAGTATGCCTCATGGTACCATTAAATTCCACTTAATCTTGCCTTGCATAAGCTTCTGTTATACAAGTTTAAAACGGTTTCAAAGTAGCCTAGGAATAATAAGCACCCGAGGTGAGATTAAAAGAGAGTAACGTCAGGCTGCTCAGGATACTGAGATGTATAAGAGGTCGAAACCGTAGTTCACCCTCGATGAAACAAGAATATTGGAGCGAGTATAAGTGTAATTAAATATAATCATGAAGCTTAAAAATATTGAAGATTGAAGACCAACACACTCAAGAAATTAAATCAGAGGCCATCAAACAGGGTGAAACATTCATATGAATTTTCACAAAAAATCGAAAACAAGGCACTAGAAGAAACAGAATTATTGGAAACTTTTGATGTTGAATTCATGTATACAAATATCTCTGGAGAAAATGCGCTGAAGAATATGCTGGAAAGCTTGGACCTAGAGGAGGATATCCTGGAATCACAACGGATAAGTAGGGAGTCATTAGCAAGGCTAATCAATTTGACAATAAGTTAAACCTATTTTACATTCAACGGGAACATTTATAAACAATTATTTGGACTTCCCATGGGATCGTCGCTCTCACCACTTTTGGCAAACGTATACATGAACAAAAGAGAACAGAAGTTCAAGATGGCATCTCTACAACCGTAAGTGCTCATGCGGTACCTGGATGATTATTTCGCACTTTGGTCACATAGAAGAGAAAATCTTGAAAAGTTTCTGAAGTTTATAAACCAGATTGCTGAAAAAGTTCAATTCACGATGGAAGTAGAAGAAGGTGAGCGGTTACCGTTTCTGCATGCTGAAGTGATTCGCTC